ACTTACACACAACAGGATTATATTTCTCCTAGTCTGAAGCAAAATGTTAACATAAATGAGTCAAAAGGGAGGGAAGACTGTTTTATTTACCTAGTTTTCATACCCAATAGGTATTCAGAGGCTGACAAACCATACAACATACTAGTGACTTGGACCACATCCAACAGACACATTTGTGTCCAACAGAAGAGTGACAGTTGATATTCAAGCAAGAAAATATCAGAAAGCTTTCATTCTTTCAAGTTTGAGTAGTAGGATTTTTCAGCAATACTGTACAATACAGGTTCCAGAGTACCTTTATTACCTTTAATAAAGTCACAGTATGGGGGGGAATGTTCTTTTGGCAAGTTAAGATACAACACAAATGCTCCAACTTGAGTTTATTGCTGGTCTAAAAATCTTCCTAGGTTTGTTACCAGTTTATATAGTTTGCAGCCTGCTTCCACAAATTAAGATAAACCAGAGAATTATCTGACCTGCCCATCAAGGCAATTCTGCCTTTGGTAGCAAGTTGTAACCTATTAAGGTAATGATACCCATAGTACTAAAACCACAAAAAAAAAAAATAGGAAAAAAATGATACTTTCAAAAAAGCCCAGATTTAAGCCTGTTTATATTGTTTATTTTTAATATAAAAACCACTTTGCACTTTAGAGTAGTTAAGTTACTCCTGTGGAAATGCTATAAAATCAAACTTTTAGCTGAATTTCTACAAAAGGGGTCTTTTTCCTGCTTTGTACCACCATCCGATCTCATATTTTCAAATTTGGGATACAACTGAAACCTTTATGCCTCAATTAGTTCTTAGGCCATTCACTCCTGCAAGAGAAAAAACCAACTTCTGAAGTACTAACATAACACTAATGGCCTGACAAGTAGGAAAATGTTCCGAAATAGTGTGCAATGTAAGAGGAGAGTTCTAGTCTTAATCTCTTGAACTAGATCTTGATCGTGAGCGAGATTTTGAACGAGATCTGGAGCGGGACCTCGATGCAGCTCTTTTGGGTGGTGACTCTGAACGAGCCTTGGCAGACGGCTGCTGCTGCGGAGAATTGGAACGAGACCTACTCCTTGACCTGGACTTAGACTTAGCATCTCCTTTACCATTTTCTTTGGGAGATCGAGACCTGGACCTGGATCTGGACCGAGACTTCTCAGACTTCTCCTTGGATCTGCTGTGAGAGCGTGAACCCCTGTCAGACTTGGGTTTCGATTTGCTCTTTGATCTAGACTTCCTGCTTTTAGATCTGGAGCGTGAGCGGTCTTTGCTTCGTGACCTGGATTTAGATCTTGCAAAAAGAGACAGAGTTTATTCTGCATGAACTAAACTGTACTTACAGCAGTTGTAAACATCTATCAATTAATGATTAACAATTCCTGTACTAACAATGTAGCACTTACCGTGAACGGCTTTTGGAGACACTGCGGGACCTGCTGCGGCTGCTCCTACTTCTACGACTTCTGCTTCTAGACCGTCTTCTAGATCGTGACCTACAAACATTTAAAATGCAAGTTGTCTGTTACTCTTTCCCTGGTGTGCCCTGCTATGCTATCTAACAGAGAAAAGCTACTGAAGAACTTCTCAAGAACAACTATGGCCAGATCAAGACGTACTAATAATCCACCCAGATTTAATATACTGTCCATGAATTGCACCTGATGTTTCCCACATGAAAAACCCTCAAACCTGACTTTGCTACATTACATAAAATAATTCCTCTTCCATTCTCAGGCATCCTCCTATTCCCAAGTAGTGTAAGTAGCCTTGATGCAGAGACTGACATGTCCCAGAAGTTACCTTGACCTGCTGCCTGAGTAAGATCGTCTATGGCTTGACCGGGGCTTGTCTTCAACCAGCCTGATCTTCCTTCCATTTATCTCTGTGCCATCCAGTTTTTCCAGGGCACGCTTCATGTCCGAGTATGATCGGAACTCGATCACTCCTTCATTTGTACGTTCTTTGTGAGCATCTGCATAGGTCACCTCACCAGCTTGCCTCATGAAATCCTTTAGGGAGTACATGGAGAATTACATAACCATCCCACATAGTTCTGCTCTGCAAGTACATTAGCTTAAGACAAGTCTGAGCAAACGCAATGAGCGTTAATTGTGTGTAAACATTCATGCACAAATATTTCTCAATTCTACCTAAATTAAAATGAACATTGTTATTAAAGGAAGTTATTGCTTCCTTCTAGTCACAACAGGCTCTATGATAGAACATTAATACATACTTTCAAATCCTGCCAACTACAGCGACTGGAAAGGTTTTCAACAATCAGTCTGTGCTCTGTACGAACAGGCGGTCCATATTTATCTCTTCCAGATTGTCTCCGACTGCTATATCCGCCACCACCCCCACCTTTATTGTACAAAGAAATAAAGTTAGATCGCCTCCTAGCATGAAGAAAACTAAATGTTCTGAAAAAGTTAGTTAAACAGTTATATTTACTGGAGTAGGACTTTATTTCTCTAAGCCTCCAATAAACTTTGCAATTTTGCCATATTCTATATTAATGGCAAATCAAACAGACTAAAATCCTACAAGTCTGAACTCCTACGATCTGTTAGAGAGTGACTGCTCCTTATTAGATTCACCTTGCTAAGTTTTATTTTACAGAACATTGTAAAATATAAAACTTAACTGATTACATGCATTTCTACATTTTACAAAAACGTTTACTAGTTACACTAAGTACTTACATCACAGTATGAGGTTTTTGGTGGTGGTTTGGCCACAAAACACGCAAGGTAACAGTCACCTAGTTCAGTTTAACCAGTTTTGTCTAACCCTTGGAATCCTCACCATCACCCTGCGTCTAATGGCAAAAGGCTGCTGTCGTCATGGCTTCCGGTAAGGTCAGCCAAAGGGTCATAGGGCAAGGGTCACACAATGTATGGAAAAGCCATGGCCAATCAGGAAAGGCAGTCATCTTAGCCTCAGTGGACACAGCCTCAGCCCCACTGGTCACTTTTAAATTGAAACATCAAGGACTTGTTAAAAAGTTTGAATTGAACATGCAACAGTTTTAAACAACATACATTTGATTCTTTTTAAAAAGACAGATACCCACCCCCCCCAAATACAAAGCTTCTAGAGACTACTCAAAGCCTTAGTGCTTTTAATTACAGTACTAGGCCAGTTAAATTCTATATAGTTCAGCTCATGAAGCTATACAAGTCAGCTGAACAGTGAAATATTTACAGTATCTCCCACTTAGTACAACAGTTTCCTGCTTGAAAACCTCCCCCCACCCTTCCTATATATTCAACTGAAACATTCACATGAAAGTTTACAGCTGAGTGCTTCTACCCCAATTATGCAACAATATTTATTCATTAACATTAGCGATGAAACATCACTGTTTCATCTAGATGCTCCCAAAAACGCCAGAGCCCTTAAATTAGGGAGCATATAGTTTCTAATTAACGAGTAACCCTTTCTAGAAGGCTACAATTTTGCAACCAGAGTTACTTTACTATTTGCCCTCCTAAGTTTCTTAGGGGATATCCAAGTGCAGCACCGGTGCCAGGAAAAACGCCTGCAGCACTAAGCCACCAGATAACTTGCCTCCAGCGTTGCACCAGGTATCCCCTACCACCATGCTCCCCAAGATAGCAACACCCCACCCCCTCAGCCCCACAGGACTCGGTCCCAGCCACTCCATCACCCCCGGCTCTGCCCTGCCAACACAGCCGAGCCGCCTGCCCTCGCCTCCTGCCCCTCACCCGAAGCAGCCGTATAACCACGCAGAAAGATGGGGCCGTACTCACTGCGACTACTGTAGCTGTACCCGTCCCTGTCGCGGCGGGGGCCGCGGGCGTGCTCTACGATCACGCGCTCCCCGCACAAGTCCTTGCCGTTCAGCTCGTAAACGGCATCGTCGGCGTCTCGGGAGTCCTCGAACTCCACGAAGCCGTAACTGCGGGAAGAAGAAAGGCCCCGTCAGCCGCCCGCCCGGGCCGGGCCGGGACAAAGGCAGCCAGCCCCGCCGCAGCGCCCCCGCTCCCCCCGCGCCGCCGCCATCTTGAGCCGGGCGCCACGCGGCAGCGCGGGCGGGAGCGGCCGACAACATGGGGGAGGGGGGGAGAAGGAGGGGGGAGAGGCGGGCGCGGCCCGCCTGGCCCCGGGGACGGCAACGGCAACGGGGCGGCGGCCGGGCGGCGGCGGCCCTGAGGCCGCGGGACAGCGCTCACCCGTTTTTGAGGTCGACCTCGAGCAGGCGGCCATAGCCGCTGAAGAAGCGCTGAATGTCCTTCTCCCGGACGTGGTAGCTCAGGCGGCCGATATAGACGCGCGGCATGTCCGCGGCGGAGGGGGGGGGGAAGGGATAGAGAGAGGAGAGGAAAGAGAAAGGGGGGGAGAAAGAGAGAGGGAGAAGGGGGGAAGGCGGTGAGAGAGAGACGCGAGGAGCGGCGCTACCGACCCACACACCGCCACCGCCGCGACCTGCTCCGCAGCACAATGGCGCCCGGCGCCCGCCGCCGCATTTATAGCGGGGGGCGGGGCGCGGGGCGGTCGTAACGGCGCCGGGCGGGCGGGGAGCGGGAACTCGGCGCTAGCGTCATAACGCTCTCGCGAGCCGGCGGTGGCGCGGCCTGGGCGGTACGGCCGCGCGCATGCGCGGGGCTCCAGGCGTGCGCTCGCCAGGCGACCGCGCGCGCCCCGCACGGGCCTGGGCGTTGGCGGGCTCCGGCTAAAGGGGCGGGGCTGCTCCGCTCTGCGCGTGCGCAGCGGCGCCTCCTCCTCCTCCGGGCCGGGGCTCCCGTCATGGTCGCCTCGCCTCGCCCCGCCGCGGCCAGCAGGCCTACTCGCCCCGGAGCTGCCTGGCGGCTGGGTGGCCGCGGGGCCTGGCAGGGACCCGTGTGCTGTAACCCACGGTCGATCAGAGCATAAGGCCTGCGGGCGGAGTGGTCCGCCTCGGCGTCCTTGGGCGCCTGCCCGGTCCCTCACAGGCCGGGAAGCCCAGAGACTTCTGTCTGTGGAGTTGTTTTCTAGACACGGCTACATGGGAGCAATCCCTAATACCAGCCCAAAGTTACCAAGTTCTTTGTCCTGGTTTCCCTTTAATACGTGTTATGAATTAGAAAAACCCTCTCAACATATTAATAAAGCCACTGCTTCAGTCTGCTGGGCTTTACGTTTTAACACTACTACATACTGTATACTATGCTTTGTGTATTTGATGCAAACTATAAATGTATATTCTAATGCATACAACATTCTTATATTGCGTACTATACAGTTTAAATATTTAAGGTGAAAAGGCCACGTTTACTCCTGGATTTTTCCCAGCTGCACGGAAAGCAGCTCATACCTAATGCTTCATTACTGTGATCAATATCAGTAATGCAACTCACCAAAGACACCATGATTGCCTTCAATTTTCAGGATGTTGCCCTCAGGTAATTGGTAGCAAAGCAACTTCTGAGTTTAAGTGAGGGAAATCTCTTAAGTCTAATTTTTTCTCATTTAATAAAAGCTTGATGCATATATTACAACAGACAATGAGTGACCTCTTTCTCTTCTGTTACAGTGGACAGTGCTTGGGATATTTCCACGAGCTCACAGTGTTTTCTGTCTGCTCTAGAAACACACAGGTGAGTCACTGATTTACAGGCCTGATGTGTTTTTTTCATACTATATTACCAGGGGATATTTTGACTTATAGGTAAATTTAAGCATTAGCCAGGCTGTAGGTAGATAATTCAAAAGGGTTTTTTTAGTCCTAAATAGCTCAGCACGGAGGGGAACAGCACAAGATATGCAGTTCCTTCCCTGAGCCTACTGAAATAAAAGCTCACCTGTAACAGTTGGGATGTATCTCACATGGTCTTCAACTTTCAGCTCTCTGTTTAGAACAGCTGAAGAGAACAAGCTCTGAAGCACCAGTGCTTTCTCAGAAACAGGTAAATTGGAAAAGTATTCATTCTATTTATCGCTAAAACGTAGTAGTAACTCTGAGCCTCTCCCGTGGACAGTAATACCATTGCATTGAATGTTGTGTACACAGAACTAAAGGATGGCTTCTTCTAACAAAAACTTAAATTAATTAGTGTCTTTTTTGAGATAACTGTGTGTTATAATGTCTAATTATAAAGGTTCTCTCTCTGCTACAGCCATATTCTGTTATTTTCCACTACTGTTCTCATAAGAGGATAATGATTCACTGGCCTAAATTTTGAAAACCTTGGACATGAGCATTCATCTGAAATTGTCTGTGCTGTCACCTAGGAGAGCTGCATGCTAAGACTTGCTGGAAATAACCCAATTAGATAGTTCGTGATAAAACATCCTGTGCTTGGTTGAAGATTAGTGTGTAAGCCTGTACTGAAGTTCAAGGATAGGAAGGAAAGCTAAGCCTGTTCTTAAGGGCTTCCCTGCAAGTGGATGCTCTTCAGGATCAGAGCCTTAGATAACTGCCTTTCCTGAAAGATCTACACTTCTGTATTTTCCTCGCTGCCCATAAAAGCTGCTCTCTTATAGGTGACGACACTCATTTCAACATCTCTGCCTCTTAGTACAAGGAATTCCTTTCCCGCTTCCAACAGGGAAAAGAAATTCTTCATGACAGAAGTTCTGTCCATGCATCCTCTGAGCTCTGAGACCTCATCTGGTGTTTATATCCCTGCCTTTTCTTGGGAGAATATCCCCACATAATGCCCTAGAAATGGATGACAAACAGTCTGTTCAGCCAGGGGCCATATGGAGCATGACTGGGCAGAGGCAGTCCCTGCACTTTCTGGCCTATTTTTATGCATGCAAAGAACTGAGCTTGGGACCTACCCATCCTGAGCACTGGGATGTTGAGCACTAGCAAACAGAAGCAAAAGAATGAGTTGGTCCTCCTGTAATGAGACAATCAGAGAAACCCACTCCCAAAAGCAATGTCAGGTTGGAAAAAATCCCAAAACAAGGAAGCAGCAAAGCAGCGCAGAAGAGAGAGGGGTCAGGAAAGGAACAAAGGGCACTAGGAATGTGTTTGCTGGGTCAAGGGAGTGTCTAGAAAGAGAAAGGAGAGACAGCTGCCTGATTCCATCTCTGCCTGGCCTGGTTCATTACTAGCAACAGCACATCATGCTGATGGGGCAAGCAGAGACACTCAGGCCCATGTCAGTGGGGACCTCCCCAGTTCTGGGCTGGTAAAGCACACATGGAGGACAGCTCTCCATCGTACATGTGCTGAGCACATCTAGTGACAGAGGAGCCGTGTGGGTATCTCCACATGTGCAGTGCCCGTTTCTCCAATGAAGGAATGGTCCCTGCACCCCATATGATTTTTAGAAGTATACAGAGGATGTGACCATATAGGATGTGAAGTCCCATGTTCCATGGGATACTGATACACCTGGGCTGGCTGGTGTGTCTTTCAGGCTTCCAAGGCCCCCGTTATATGATGGCCCTCTCTCAAAGGACACCTCAAAGCTCTTGGCAGGTGGCAAAAGAGAGAGATTTGCTGAGACCACATGGAAAGCAAGGGAGAATTCACATTAGGATCTTGCAGCCATGTTTTGTTTTTCTGTTCCTATACTTGAGGAGGAATAAAGGGTCTTCAGGTGCCTTCTGTCATGGTTTGAGCTCAGAGGGCAACTGAGCACCATGCAGCCATTCACTCACCCCTTCTCCCCCAGTGCTGGGAAGGAGAAAATGAAGATAAAGTCTCAGGAATTGAGATAAGGACAGGAGAGGTGGCTCACCCATTGCCATCACAGGCAAAAGATAGACTTGCTAGGAGAAGAAAAAGAACATCAGTTTAATTCAAACCCTAACTTAACAGAGTAGGTTAGTGAGAAGAGCCAGCACATGCCAAAAACACTTCCCCCCACCCCTCCCTTCTTCCAAGGCTCAGTTTTGTTCCTGATCTCTCTACCTCCTCCCCCCCAGCAGCACAAGGGAAGGAAGTGGGGCATGCAGTCAGTCCCAATGCTCTGTCCTCCAAGAGAGGGGAAGCACTCCTCTGCTGATCTCCCCTGCTCCATGTGGTTCCCCTCTCACTGAAGGCAGTCCTCCACAAAATTTCTCTGACATGAACCTTTCCCACAGGATGCATTCTTCCTGAGAAGCGCCAGCTTGGGTGTCCTCCTGCGTGTTGCAGTCTTCCCAGTGCCAAGCTATAACAGTGGCAGCTGTTTCTTCCCTCAGAGTCCCAGACTCCTTCGGGTGGTGTCACCCACCCCGGTGTGGGCTCCTCCACAGGCTTCAGGTTGGCCTCTGCTCCACCGTGAACCTCCGTGGTAGCAGGGGTGGTGGCCCTGCCATCTGACCAAGGGATACAGGGGGTCTCTGCTCTGCCACACCTCTCCCCTTCTTCCTTTTTCCTTCCACTGACCTCAGTGTTCACATAGGTGTCCTTCTCGTAACTCCTCCTCACAAGTCCCAACACCCTCCCAGGTTCCCCTTCTCAAATACATTATCACAGAGGTGCAGCCACCATCACTAATTGGCTCAGCCCTGGCCAGAGGTGGGGATGACTTGGAGCAGGGGCCACCTCTGAGCCCCCTCCCCACTACCAAAAACCCCACCACACAAACCCAGCACACTCCTCACTGGGTGCCATGCTCCGTGTCCCTCTCCAGTGCCCCCTCAAGCCATTTTCAAATCCTTGAAATTCTTCTCACATCCCTGGCCTTTTTTACTCTTTGTCCCCCATAATCAATTATCTGTTTTTCACATTGCTTCTTCTTCCTCTAGCCTACCTCCAACCTGGGGGGCTTGATGGCTGGGTTAGGAGCAGCCTGGTGCCTAGAAGGAGAATGACAAAAACTCCCCCTATTCTGAGGTCATTTAGGGACCTATCTGACCAGCCTTGGCTTTAATTAGAATGGCCTCAGCCCTGTGTTGTCTTATGCCTTCTCTTATGGTCTGTTGGTAACCCTGGAAGGCAAGGAGTGGCTTTAAAACAGTAACATAGTGACCAGAGATGAACTTCACCTCTTACACAGTCCAGGCAGGCTGGTGGGTGTTGCTCAAAGCAGATGCAGATAAGGTCCAATTATCTTCATCCTTCTGGATCAGTGGTCCCCGGCCATTTCCCTGACCTAACTTGGTTGTGTCCTATTATTTTTACACCCTTGACTTAACAGTCATATTCCTGACGTACATGAGCACACGCAGCAGCAGGTTCAGCCTCTGAAACAATAGCCTTTCTCACACACCGAGGGATATGTGTTCCTGACATCTGGGAACCCTGGATAAATGTCTCAAATGCGTTAGTTTTATGGCCTGATCTGACAAATCAACTGGTGCTGCAGAACTGGAAATTTCAACTCTATAGTTCAAACCTTTGGTGCTTTTTCCTGGACACTTAAAGAGAGAAATGAAGAAATAAGTATTGCAGTGTTTTCGTACCACTTCCACAATGGAAGATGGGAGGAGCATCATAAGAAGAAATTACAATTCATCTTTTTTCCTCCTAAGGGTGAAAGGCTCTACTCTCTCAGTACAAAGGTTTGATGTCTGTAATTAATCAAAATCTGAGAGATACGAAACAGAGTGCTGGTAACCTTGTACAAGTCTTTTATTGTTAGTCCAATAAAAAGTATCGCATGTAATTTGTCTGTCTTGTTGAGGGCTAATATTTGGCTAGTGATTATTTCTTCTGATTTGTTGTCAGAGGAGCTTTCAGTGTGAAATTCATGTTCTTTCTCCAGTCTTGCCAGCAGCGGGTATGGCTGTATGCTAGTGTCTCATGAAAACAGTATAAAATATGCATATCATGAATTTGTTATGCACCAGCTGTTTGTTGCAAGACTAGTGTCGCAGGATGCTGCTGTCAAGTGCCCGACTGTTTCTGTTACACTTCCTTCTCCCATTGCCTCGTCCTCGTCACATCTCTGTCAGAGAACCCAGCTCTGAACCTGGGTGCTGCTCAAGAGGCAAAACGGGTGGGCTGGCAGCCTGGCTGGTTTTCTCATGTTTTCCCATAGCTCTTTTGTGTGAATCCCATAGGCACTGACACTGGAGAGCAAGTCTGGATTCACATGCAAAATGCGGGCAAATTCAGTTCAGGTCTTTTGGCAGGTGTATCTGGCTACTGTGGTCATCAGGTGTTACGCTTCTGTGATCGTACCTGTCATCACTGCAGACGTACCTGCATCTTCATTTTGTTTGTAGGGAACAGAAGCTTAGGGAGACCGGAGGGCGTGAGGTCTCCCCATGGCTGTCTGGCAGGCCCTGCCTACAAGGATCCGTCCTTCTTGCACATGGCTTCTCCTTCACAAAATTCAGGGTCAAGGAGCATCGCAGGAGATAAAGTTCTCTTGCATAGGATGAGGGGAAGCAAGCAAACTGACAAAGAAGTGCTGTCTCAGAGGCAGGCCACTGCAAATCAGTGTGCTTTAAATGGATGATTTCCTAAGGATTTTTAGTCCTCCAGCTGCCACAACCTGTTAAAACATGAGAGCTCCAAAAACTATCATCATCCAGTCACGGCACAAGCTAAAAAATGTCTCTAAGTGAGCCAAGGCACAGGAGATGTTAACAGCTCCCGGGAGCTGGTGTTCAAGCAGCTCATCCATCTCCTGTGCCTTAGCAGCTCCTTCAGAACCACCATGCGAGGTTAACCCAGCCGCTGACTCATGAGTATCGGTCCGGGCTTTGGACCAAAATGGGTCCTCCTGACACATACATAGAGAACTGCTGAACTGACCGTGACTGTTTCTGTGCATTAGTGGCTAGGATGTGAATGTTTTCTACTGCTTTTTTTGCAATATGTGGGTCCTCTCTGGGCAGAGCCAATGAAGCGCCTAGTTCAGGACAGCAGCCAAGCACAGATGCACATGGGCATTAGTGGCTTTCTGTCTCTTGCTCTCTCTTTGAAAATGGGTTTCATTTCCCACGTGGACCCTCCATCTGAGCAGGGGCACCCAGCATGGGTCTGAATGGGTGTTTATACAGCTAGGACTT